AGACATTGGAACATGGAGGTGAAAGGTCAGAAGAAGACATGAATAAGAAGAAATGTGTAGAAAATGAAATAAGAACCTTTATACACACACACACACACACACACACACACACACACACACACACACACTTTTATTACTGTAACAAGTATTACGAAATTAATTGCAGTGTCAAAGTTAAAAGTTTAAGTATAATTACAAAAGAATAGAATAAAAAAATAGGTAGAGCATGATATTCAGTGATAATAAATAGAACCTTATTGCACATAAACACTATAGCACACGATGTCACAGGATGTCATCCATTGCACTCTTTGCCAGGTTGAATTGTAGGTGATTACTTGTAATCCAAAGCCCTAACAGCTAGAGAGTAGAAACTGCTATCTAGTCTATTAGTCTTTGTTCTGATGCTCTTGTATCTTTAGCCTGATGGCAGCAGTTCAAAAAAGATTATGAGCGGGGTTTGAGGAGTCTTTTATGATATTTCCTCCTTTCCTGAGACAGCAAAAGCGGTTGAGTTCATCCAATGATCCCCTGAACTTTTTTTTTTTTTTTCCTGCGCTGTCGTGCAGCTGGAAAACCACAGAGGGAGTAGCACAGGATGCTCTCAATAGACCAACGACAGGAGGACACTAGCAGCTTTTGGGGGGTGTTGTGCTTCCTGAGGATTCCAGGAAATAAAGTCTGTGCTGAGCCTTCTTTGCTGTGTTCACAACCCAGGAACCCAGGAAGCGGAATCCAACACCATTTCCACCCCATCTAAATTGATGTAAAGTGGTTTAATTTCCATTTTCTTTTTCCTGAAATCCACAACAATCTCCTTTGTCTTGGTTGTGTTCAGGAGCAGGTTGTTGTCCCTGCACAATGCTGTCAGCTGCTCCACTTTGTCCCTGTAGGCAGATTAATCCTCCCCCAGGGATGAGCCAACCACAGTGGGTCGTCTGCAGATCTTATGATGGCGTTACTGTGGTGAGCGGGGGCACAGTCATATGTGTATAGTGTGATTGGGCTCAGCACACAGTCCTGGGGAGAGCCGGTGCTGATGCTGATGGCCAAGGAAATGTATGGACCCACCCTTGTGTCCGGTTTGTCAGAAAGTCCTTAATTCATAGGCAGGTGGAATATGGGAGTCCTGGGGTCAACAGCTTGCTCGCCAATCTGTGAGGGAGGGTGGTGTTAAAGGCAAAGCTTAAATCAATAAAGAGGAGGCATGCGGAGCTCCTCTGCTTCAGGTGGGACAGGGTAGCATGGAGAGCAGCAGCGTCCTCAGTAGACCTGTTAGCCCTGCAGGCAAATTGATGAGTATCAAACTACTGGCCGATACTCATTCAGGCAGGTTGTGGGTGATTTTTCTTTTGGTAAGGGGACTATGGTGTAGGATTTCAGACGGGGTGGAAGTGAGGCCTGGGAGTGTGACAGATTAAAAACATCAACTAAAAGTTAGATTTATTTAACTATTCTGCAGTTAGTATCATAGTATGCTATAAATAATAATAATAATAATAATAATAATAATAATAATAATAATAATAATAATAATAATAATAATAATAATAATAATAATAATAATA